GTTTCACAACCAAATAAACCTCCGCCAATGTCACGGCATAAATTTCTAGAAGGGCCGTGGAAAGGTGTAACCATAGACCTCATGGGGCCTTTGCCAAAGAAAGAAATGCTTCGGATAATAATTGACTATTATCCCAGATACCAAGAGATAAAATTTTTAAAGACTATACTACCTCATCAGTACTTATAGATCATTTGTCAGAAATATTTGTACGCCTGGGGTACTCTAAAAGAATAAGAGCAGATAATGAGAGAAGTGGTGAAAACGCTAGTAAATCCATACTTAAAAGATCGCAAATCGTCCATGAGAACAATAAGGATTATCACAGAGAAATCCAAAAACGTATAATGTAATAGCACATAGAACAACGGGAAAATCTCCATCCCCACTGCTCTTTGGCAGGAACATCAGAGATAAAATTCCATCCATTGATGATCCAATTAACACAGTTATGAACGAAGAAGCCCAGGGATAATAACGTGATAAATAAACAAAAAGGAAAAGAAAAGGAAGATTTGGCCAGAAAAGCGAAACAGTACGACATACAACCGGGAAATAGAGTTGTAACCTTCAACATGACAACCTCAAACAAGTTGGAGAGTAGATTTTCAAAGGAAGAATTTGAAGTAGTTGAGAGAAGGGCAAACGAGATAACAATAAAGAGAAACGGCAAGATATTCAAACGACACATACCACATGTAAAGAAAATCCCAATTAAACCTAATCATGACACTAATATCCCACCAATAATTCCAGTTTCTGCCACGGACCAAACCACATTGGGAGACGATACAACCGTCTACATATAGTATTTTTAATCCGACTTGAAACACTAAAAAAACATAGTCGGCAACTTGTCGGCATACATCCATCAAACAAATAAAGGACATGTGCGTCACATAATTTTTATTTCGTCAAATGGTAATAATATCAAACAACACAACTAAATAATAAGTGGAATAAAACAGCAAATAATGGATAAATTGGGATGACACTGGTTATAGAAATCGCGTAGTCTAGTCAGTAGGTATATCTACATCGTTTCCGAGAAGACGTAAATAGCCCACCGCAATAATTGAACCTATAGGCGCGTGCCGAGCTAAATTATTTTGGGCTTCTGTAGCGATATTAGTGTTTCACAAGATTCTTGCAAATTTCTTGTTCTTGTCTTGTTCTTGCTGCAAGAACAAGACAAGACTCTCTTAAGGCCGTTTTACAGCTTGCAAGAAAACTTGAATGCAATTTTTTGCATGCAAAAAAATTGCATTCAAGATTTCTTGCACGTCGTTTCACACCTTGCAATTTGACTTGTTTCCTTCTCTAATGTTAAGCATACTTTATTGTTTTTAATTTTGTGTTGTTGATGTTTGCATTTTCCAAAAATGAAAAAAGTGATTATAACTCGATATAAAAACAAGAAAGCAATAGCAGCCACTTTAAGCATCATAATTGCTAAAAATTCCCCAGCTTGCGCGAAAACTTTCAAGAAAAATGGGACCAAACCAATTCTTGCAATGTCATTCAAGTTTCAAAAATCTTGCAGAAAAAAATCAGCTGACTTACTTGTGCGCATGCCCTCGTTCAAGTTTCTTGCATATTGCAGATAGAATTGCAAGCTGTAAAACGGCCTTTAAATTTCTTGTCTTGCAAAGCAAAACAAGACAAGAAGTTGCCAAGCAAGACAAGAAATTATTCTGCAAGACTCTTGCAATCTTACAAGAAATCTTGCAAAAAAATGAAGTCTCCATCTCTGCAAATTTTTGAATTAATTTTGGCAACGTTGCGACAGTTAACAATGAGATAAAAATCACATAAAAATCTTGATAAAAATGTCAGCATGTCAGTTTGTAAAGTTTAGGTTTAGGGCATTTTTTTGCGACTAAACGTTTTGAAATTGTAGTTTCAGAACACTTAAACAGATGTCAGTTTCTAACAGTTCTTGCAGCAAGTATGGCTAGGAAAACACGACGGTTTTCTACCACACACTTCGGTTTTGGAACGACGTGTTTCATTGCGGCGATAAAAACCGTCGTGTTTCATTGTAGTCCGTGGGGCCCTCTAGAGCTGAAACTGTTTTAAAACGGTTTTTGAAACTGTTTCCTCGAAAAAAAAGCCTTTAAACCAGGAAAGATGACGATGACAACCACGTTATCAATGATAATGACACCAATCGTACTCTTAAGGGCCCCACAGACTATGATTCGTGTTTCAATCGCGGCGCCCTCAAAATGCCCAGAGAAAAAAGAAAAACTTGTCCCGACACGCTTTTGAACGTAGTGAAATCTTGCAACGAGACTCTTGCAAGATTTATTTCTGCAAGAGTCGGGCAAGACAAGGATGAATTTCATTTCATGTCTTGCTTTGCGAGACAAGACAAGAATAGGCCCAGCAAGACAAGAAATCTTGTCTTGTGAAACACTAAGCGATATTCCGTCGCTGCTTATATTTTGTATAGGGAAACTTACAATGGATTTTTTTATGAAATTAATAGAAGAAAGCGACGTGATGTTGAAATATCCTCGTACAATGCAGTGTTTCAAGTCAGATTGAAAATACTTTACCAAGAAGCAACAGAGCGGCACCCAACAACAAGGGTTGAGCCACTCAGACTGGAAAAAAAGGAGGGAATGTGGAGATCCGCACTGTTGACGTGACGAGTTGTCGCCAAGGCAGGAGGGGGTTGAAGAGGAGGCAGTGATACACCGGCAAGCAGCGAGTGAGGAGCGAGCTGCGACGAATTAAATTTACGAGTTTTTTGATTGAATTATTTACTTTGTGAAATATATATAATATATTTATAACTATATAAGTGTGTATTATTATACGGTACCACAGCTTCTACAACATATTTTTCCACAAATCCCAAAAAAAAAAACCGGCGAAGTTATATTTGGCGATTTTTCTGGTCAGAGAATTCCAGAAAGCAAAGGTATCTGAAAGGTTCTGCCTGATTATTGTTTGAATTATTCGCAATAGTTAAGTTCCCGATCTTGGACACAATGACCACAGTAGAACCAGGATACTACCCAAGGTGATATCGCAAAGTTCGTCTATTTCTAATGTGTATTTTCTTGATTCTTCCAGCTCAGTAGGTATTCAAGCAAGATACGTTAAAATGTGTCTTTGTTGTGGCTCAGAGCTTACATACTTGTTTTTTGTCTTTGTATTAATTTATGCCCATCGTGTTGGGTAGGTCGTCCCATTAGGGAAATGTGAAAGATGCTTGTGAATAAGAGTCAATGTTTCCAATATGAGAAAGGTTGGTATGGAAGTCGAAAAAAGCATTATTTTTCAAAAAGAGTATAAGTAACTCTCTTTAAGAAAACTGGCCTTTTTAGTATAATTTGCCGTTAGGTTTCAAGATTAAGTTAAAAAAATTAGTATAAATAAGACAATAAAAAACTTTGCAGCAAACAAACGAAAAATTCAATACAATTCACAAATGTATAAAGTAACAACCAAGTTTATAGTAAAATGTAGAAACCCAATCACTGATCCCTCACTCTCTTGAATATTTGCACTTTCAACTCTTTATCCTTCACATTCACCATGCATCCTCGATGATTCTATAGTCTCCCAGGATGTCCTCGCTCTTAATAAATCTTCATAGTGGACACTACTTTTTGAATCACTTTTTTTATATCAGTTTCTCCTTGTTTTGGTATTCTGGCGAAAATTCTGTTGTTTTGCTTTTCTTTCTGATCTTTGTTGTTAATCCTGGTCTCCAGTTAGTAGTACCTACTCTTATTTCCCTGTCTCAAAGCTTTTATTCTTGTCGTGAAGTTTTCTGTTGCAGTTTTGTGTTCTTTGAATTTATTGGATGTTATGTACCTATCAAAAGAATTTTGGTACTGATATTAACAAATACAACCCAAAATCTCTACAAGAATAAAGCGTAAACGCGTTACACAAGAACTGGTAGTAAGAACTTTCGAAAGCTCGAAATGCTTTACAACTATATCAAAGAAAGTATTCACAGTAAAGCATTTGAAGCCTAAGGCAAACACGAAAGAATTGAAAGAATACAAAAACCTTATTGGTAGGATGAAGAATTTGAGAAAATTCAACAGGAGGAAAAGAAATATATAGAAATCACTCACTATTCACTGGAAGAATACAAGTTTTTGCAGCGCTTATATGAACTACAAAATGCTAATAATTTCTGAAAACATATTTCAATTTAAGTTTGCAATTACCCAATGATAATAATGTTTCAACTTTACTCAGTTTGTTTGATGGTAATGCCAAATTCTGTTCCTATAGTTTTTTTTTGAAACCCTCTAAACAGTGTGCAACACTGGTATCAAGGGTAACAACTTAATAGCAACAAGCATGGCAAATCCTTTTAAATGAGCTTAATAAGTCTCAATAATTCAACTTCAATAAACCCATCCATTTAACAATAATAAACCCATTCAACAACAATAACATTATTCAACCCGCTTATAACAACGTAAACCTAAACCTAAATCTAAACTCAATAAACTTAACAATGTCAACCACAGTATCTAATATATTGAGATCAATAAATCGCATTTTCAAATATATACTTACTTAGGTACTGCTTCAAAAATTGATAGAATATTTAATAATATTGATGTGGTCGAGTCAGATATAATTATTGTATGTGATATCATGACTAGTTATTTTCATACAGATTGGATCAAAAAATACTTCCATATTTGTGAAAAAGACATGTTTCAATAGTGAGAATCTCAAACTATAATGAGTTTTGGGATGAAATACCCTACTCAGAGTGCTAATGATAAATGACAAAAGTTTCATATTTAATATTAATAAATCAATAATTAACTCAGAAAACATTTTGGCTTAGTATTGAATAGTTATATGCGTAATTATTTCGCATACATTAAAAATGTCTATTAATGGTGCAAACTCGATACTAGTAGATAGAGTGGGCTTTGAAAGATATAAGTTTGAAAAGTAAAAATCGTTGCTTTGAGAAAATACTCCTGTAACTAAGAAGATAAGACACATACCTGAACAAGTATCAAAAGCAAAATTAATTTGGTCTTTTTTCGAAACATGCAGTCGTCCTCTGGAACGAAGATAATCAACCAAACTTCCTTTACTCATGTATTCAGTCACAAGATAGATTTGATCTTTTTTTCTAACGATTCCCAATAAGTTTACTAAATTTTCATGGTGTAGAGATCTAATGAAAAAAAAAATGTTATGAGAAAACATATTCGGGCAATTTCATTGAAAACTTACTTCATTAAAATAGCCTCGGCTTCACTCGAATCTTTCAGTACTTTCACTGCAACTTTTTGATTTTTCCATTTTCCCAACATTACTTCGCAAAATTCACCCTTTCCAATAGGTTCACATACCTATAAATTGAAAATTGATTGATAATGAAAGATAATTTTTAATTTATATAAGTTTTCCTATTTTTTCAATTAACTAAGCTTTCTTATTATTCCTATATACAGCGTACACTTTAAAAACGTACAATGACTATATCTTAGAAAACAAAAATCTCTGAAAACTATTTCTATAATAGGGAGGAGAAACCAAAATGATGTAATAACTACCTATTTTCACTTATCCCCTCACCCCCAGCCACCCCAACTGAATAATCTTAAATGGCAAACCCCAAACAAAATGCTTTCCAATTTGATTCTCCAGATATAGTCATTGTAAGTTTTCAAAGTGTCACCCTGTATATATTTATTATATGACAATAAGAATTGTTTTTAAATCTTAACAGTTCTTACCACTAAGTCATGTTCAGGTATAACACAAAGATCGTCGCTTTCCTTAGAGCTGCTCTTTACAAGGGCCTTAGAAGTGTCATTTTCCTTTGGCAATGCACTGACTAATTTCGTACAAAGACCATCTGCATCGTTTTTATAATGCTCAATCAGTTCTTCTAAATTATCAAAATATTCCTCGTCGTCTATTGTCAATTTATTGCCGTGAGATTTAACTCGATAATGTTCTACTTTGGATTGAAAACATACACACAGTGTATAGTCTCCTGGAAAATTTGTGGATTCTCTTACTAAGAATAGGCCATCAGTTCTTGGTCTTAGTAAGGCTTCGGCTTCTTCTCTAGATATTTTACCATGAAACCAACTAGAAAAAAATATTATTGAATACATTTTTTCAAAACAATATGAAGAATCTTACGGTGTTGTAGCGTATTTGGAATTAGTCCTCAAAGGACTCTGAACACGATTGACGTTGACATCATGCTCTGAGGTAATTATTTGATTTTTAATGTTTCCCCCCTCAGAAGGACTAACATTCATATTGTTCTGGGTCCTTAATAGTAAATTGCACTGCTCGTTTAATACATTGTTATCCATGTGGTGGGGTAAGTCTTGAGGAGCCATCTGGAATAATAAATTTATGTAATTACTCTGGAATTTGTAACAAAAGCTATTTGGTCGGTAAACCAATATTTGTTATGAGTAACTAACTACTAATGTATGTGGGAAAAAATACGAAAATGCATCAAAGAATTTCGGCCATAAATCCTAATTAAAATGGATCTTTGGAACCTCTTGTGAACTTACAAAAGACCATGTTTACATGCGAAAAATCGAAGCCATAATCTATACAAAAATATACAACACATGAGCTATTTTAAAGGTCAAGGAATGTTGGTACCAAATTATTATGCATCACTTTGCAAACATGACTGACAATAGTTATGTGTTGGCATTTTTATTAAATAACGCATTTAAAGGCAGGCCTTTGGTTATTTTAAATTATCTCATCGTATACTGCTTTAGGGTACAATATGAAGCGTGAATAATTAAGTCGAAATTATATTCATTGTCAAAGTATATAGGGAGTCTAAATAATTATAAGGATGTTAATTCAAAATATGAACTTATTGACAATATCACAATTATTATAAAATTGGCAATTTTGAAGCCGTTAATTAAAATAATCTTGGAAAAGGTCAAAACTGTATCTGATAAAGTTGAAATACAGACATTGTAGGATAAGATAATTGCATGTTGAAAGGAAAAAAAAAGGAAATTTGATAGCTTTTATTGGAATGGAACAATATTTAGATAAAATAGAGTACTGTATAAAAACAATTACAAATTTCCATGCAAAGATAATCCTTTTAAACAAGAAAAGGGAAAAAATGGATTTGAACAAAATTACTTGAAAATATGTAACAAAGAGTTGCAAATGATTCACAGGGATACACAGTTTTATAGAAACAACTGTAAAAAAAGATTAACTCCTTTTAGCAAATTTGGAAGAAGTTACCACAAATTATTTATTGAATTAAAACATGTATGTAATGATGCATGCATCAAAAAAAAAAGTGACCATTGATAGTTAGTTCAATTAGTGAATTAACGATCCATAAAAATATTAATGAATTATAAAAGTGAAAAAACCGAGGTACCCCAAATACATATTAATCTATATTTGTAAATATAATAATACAGTCTCTAATTATCAAAATCTTCAATTTAAAACTTTCTATTTGAGATTCTCTAGGCGCATATTTTCAAAATAGAAACCCTACCACCATATCATTAAAAAGGGAATTTTGCTTCATTTACTCATCATTAAATAAAATACATTATTATACACATTTGTCATCAACACATGAGTCACCGCCAGCAAAATAATAGTTGCATTCAAGCAGCGTAGTTGGATAATTATTATTGCTGCCAAATTAGTTGAACAACTTTGGTTAACGTTAGTGACCATGAAACGGCACACATGAATTATCCCATTAAGACTATATGGCGATTATTTCATTGAAAACATAAGAGCTTCTGTTACTGAATTACCGCAGATGGATGATTAATTGAGAATGAGAAAATGTAGAAAAAAATAAATTAAGAAAACATTTGTAGAAAACAAGTACTTATAGAAAGTTTGGATTTTCCCTGAGGGCATTCAAATAAAAGTCGAAGTCCAGTGCAATTTTACCAAAAATGACTTATAATCGGTGTCTCCCTACTATATAGTTTTCGATGTGCGTCAACTGGGCTTTTGATACCAAAAATGCTTAAATTTTTCAATGTGAATCAAGGATGTCAAATCCATAGGATTATGGAGGTGGATACCTCTCTCAAACGAATTGCTTAGGTATAGTCCATCTATAATCATCTAACACATTATTCTCAAGAAAAGTAAATCAATCAAGTATTTACTTTTTTTATAAAACATTCTAACGCCATTAGATGTTTTTATGATTCATACGTTAATCAGTTAAATGAATAAACCATGCAAAAAACACTATTAAAATGCAAATTGAAAAAAAAAATACAACTTCAATCACATGAAGCTGTTAATTACAATACGAGTTTACAATATTAAATCACCACGTGTGCTGCGCCGACTTAGATGAAAAAATTCAATTAAAAAGTAGCCAAACATTTTATTATTGTAAACAGAAGTGATTTTTTTTCACACAACCTAATTATTTAATTAAAATTGACTTATTTACAGTACAGGTGTAAGTAAGTGGAACATGTTCTGATTCATGTTAATTATTTATTTTAGCGTAGTGTGGTAGTGAATAAATTTCAATACCAATGAAAAAAAGCAACAAATAAAAAACGCATTTTGAATTACAAATATGCATGAAGATGTTACGAGTTTTTAACAAATTCGTAAAAAATATGATTGGTGAAATGTTGCAACACGCACATACATATATTTCATTTTTGAGCCGAACTTAGAATTATTATTATTTTTTTATGCTCGGCTAGTTTCCCTGCTCATGGTCGTCACATCTGTCTATAGCATTAAAAAAAAGTACAGATGCAAAAATCGTGATTATTTAAATTATTGGTAAATCAACTGGGAAGTCTAAATAATGGACGAAATTCCAATAAAAAATCGTTTGTCTGGTTGCTTTTTGTCAAATAACTGCAATGTTTACTGTGACTTGATTGTTGAAATGGTGCATACCCAGACAAGACAATGTTTTTTTTTTCCCCCTTTACTTCAACATGGTAGTTAAACAATATATGTATGAACCTAAACTAGAGACCCTGAGCTGGAAGGCTATACGGGTCATTCAGTATCACATATAACATTATTACAATATACCGTATTATTTTATACATTATACAATATCACACAAGAGAAAATATCCAGTACAAGTAGGTACTGTATCACAAAGTTGTTGCATTTATGAGTATCTTAGCTCTAAATTGCAGATAAAGTCTTTCATTGTACAGTCCCAAAGTATCCATCGAAGATCAGCTGCTTCAGCTTACACTTGAAGCAAGTTATGTTCAATCTTTTAACAGGTTGTGGAATTCGATAGTAGTACCTTAGTCCTTCTGATAAGATGCTGCGTTGGCCAGTTGTAGTGTTCATTGCCGACGTTCTTAAGCTTTCATTGAGTCTGGTATTGTGCTGATGGACTGTGTTGGCTGGGATGAGACTTATTGTAGAGTGAATATTGGAAGTCTTGCAAGAATGGATAAAGATGCACGATTGCAAGATATACAGAGAGTGAACGTCCAGGATGCCATTCGGATAATATAACTCTTTTGTTGGAAACAGAAATGGCAGCCTAAACAATTTTTTTATAGCACGATTCTGGAGAACTGACAATGGGTGCAGTTTGTTCAGGGAAGCATTGCCCCATAGCAGAGTTAAATATGATATGTGAGAATGGATGAGGGAATTGTATATCATCTTACGCTTCGTGATGGACAGATAGTCCGATATTCGACCAAGTACTCCAATTGCTGGAGTAACCTTTTTACATATATGCAAGATGTGCATATCCCAAGTAAGTTTTGAATCGACAAAGAGTCCCAGGTATTTGATGCAGTCTGCACGAGTCAATGGGAGACCCTGGAAGTTTATTGTGAAGTCAGGCCAGGACTCAAACTTTGATATTACCATATAGCTTGATTTTTTCACATTTAAACTAAGTTTGTGGTAACAGAGCCAATCGCTTATTTTCTGTAAGTCTTCTTCAATTATGATTTTTAAGTTAGCAGGGTCCTTGTCAAAATAAGTGATGCAAGTATCATCTGCATATAAACTGAGAGAGCCCTGAAGATGTATGTATGACAGTGAGTTCATGTAGACTAGGAAGAGTGTGGGTCCCAGAATTGAGCCTTGGGGCACTCCGTGTACAAGGTTTTCCATTTTACTTCTGTTACCTTCACATTCAACATACTGTAGTCTGCCCGACAGATAGTCCCTAAACCATAGTAGTGCTGAACCTCCAATACCAGTTTTTTCAAGCACCTCTACGAGAATTTTGTGATTTACTGTGTCAAAAGCTTTTCTTAAGTCCAGCGAGACAAGCACACACTTATATCTCTTATCAACCTTTTCATAAATATTTGTAATTAGGTCTGTAGTTGCTGAGGAGGTACTGCAGGTGCTTTCTGAATCCATATTGACCCGCTTACCAAAAATTTATTCCATCCAAATAACTGGATAATCTCATATTTACACAGGTTTCCAATACCTTAGACATAGCTGGGAGCAGAGAAATGGGCCTGTAGTTGTTTAGTTCTGTGCTATCACCACCCTTAAATAAAGGGACAACCTTGGCCATTTTAAACAAACTTGGTACAGATGCAGTATTAAAAACAAGATTTATCAACTTACATAAAATAGGCGATATTTCATTTTTCAATTCCTTGATTGTATCAATGCCCAAGCTGTCAGTTCCAGGTGATTTTCCTGGTTTTAATTTGTTTATAACTGCAGTGACCTCCTCTGTAGTCACAGGTTCTCATTGATTTACATAGGCAGTAAAAGCTGGTTGGAGTTGAGGGAAAAAAAAATGTTGGGAGGATGTTTTTGCTAGTTCTGCAGCAATTCCGGAAAAGTATTGGTTTAGCAAGTTACTAACTTGGGTAACAAGCGGTCTTTCCTGGGTTTGGAGTTGTTGATTATAGTGTTCTCCATATCTGTTTAACATCATTCCCTGCTTTACTTATTTCGGTATTATAATAAGCCTTTTTCGAGTCAATTAGTGATTTTCTATATTCTTTTTGGGTTGATTTGTAAAGTTCAAGTAAATGAGCACTGTGTGGAAACATTTTATGTCGTTGATAGTGAAAGTCCCGCCTCCTCATCAATTCAAAGTGTCTAACACTATACCAAGGAGCACTTCTAGATCGAAATCTATTTCTATAGTGTCTATTATGCAAATTGTTATTGTAAGAACGTATTATTTGATCACATAATAAATTAGGATTAGACCAGTTTAAGGTTTCAATTTCAGCTAAATTTGCCTTAAAAGCTTCTTTATTTAAAGTGGTTACTGTATAACTATTGCACTTGGAGTTAATTCTTTTTAAGTTTATGCTCAAGTATTGCAGTCGGTGGTCTGAAATTGCACTGTCTATTAGAGACAAACTTAAGTCATAATTACTATTATTAGTTAATGCATAATCAATCGAGGTATTAGAATGTTGGGTTACTCTTGATGGTATATGATTATTGATTATGGTAAATCCATTTGACTCAATTGTGAACTGAAGTATTTGCTGCTGTGGGCTCGAATTTAAAATGTTCAGGTTGAAATCTCCAAATATCCAGGCTGTCTTTTTTTTATTAGCAATAACATTCAATTTCTCATCACAGGTTTGCAAAAATAAATTGTAATCAAAGTTTGGTGGTCTATATATTATTCCTATAATAATATCACATTCTTCCACCAAAATAAAGATCATGGAACAGTTTGAGTTATGTTTTGCAAGTTCTTTGAAGTTGTATTTTTCGTTAAGTAGAATGCCAATGCCTCCACCTCTTTTATCTCTACTAACATAAATTGATCTGTACCCATCAAAACCAAAATGGACTGCTTCGTCTGGAGATAACCAGGTTTCAGTTATAACAATAGCATCTGGAAGATTTAAACTATTTACCAAAGCTTCTATATCATTTACCTTACTTCTAATGGATTGAGCATTTAAATATAAAATAGAAAAATTTTGTTCTAGAGTTTTAGACCCTGGACTGTTGATACGTTGATTTAGACTAGCAAAATGCTTTATTTCTTTGGTAAATGCAGCCATTTTAAAGGTTTTCTAGCGAATGTTCATTGCTAACGAGAACTACTGAGGAGTCCTCACTTTTTCTTAGGTAGACTCTACCATTTTTAGTCCAACAGAATTTATAGCTTTTTTCTTTTTTGGTTTTGTAGGCTAAACTAAATAAATACCTGTTTCTTTGGGTCAGCTCTTCATTAACATAAATTCTACTTTTAGTACTTTCTGGTTTCGAGGTGTTGCATTTCAGCATTTTAGAATCAATGCTACGATGTTTCCTACTGGCCAATAAGCCATTTTTTTATTTCAATATTTAGAAGCTTTGCAGAAATAATTGTCCCTTTCTTAGTTTCTTTTTTGATGCATAACGTTCTTTTTAGTGACATTTAAGTAATATGGGTGACAAAAGGAAAAAAAATCGGGAACAAAACGACGATGGGTACCAGGATACAGTTCCTATAAGAAGAACTTCATTGATATTTTGAGGCAAAGGATTGACGATAGCCTCTACCTTTCCCGGATCAGGACGCAGACCCTTACTGTCAACCAAATAACCTAAATATTTAAGTTCTGATTGGCAAAAATTACGTTTTTCAATGAAGACGCCGAGATCAGCATCGTGTAGTCTATCAAAGACAATCGCTAATCTAACAGTTTAAAATAAAAAGGAGTTGGATAAGATGACGATATCATCCAGGCTCAAGTTCAGGACCTAGAATAGTGTCAACTATACTATACGTTGACAAGTGGCAGGGGCGTTGGATAGACCAAAAGGCATCCTCCTAAACTGGAACAAACCTCTTCCAGGGACAGTAGAAACAGTGTATTCGCCAGAGTTTTCGGCTAAAATAACTTGCCAGAAAGCTGACTTATTACCAATCGAGCGCTGATATACCGGGTATTGCGTAAATTGTCCAAAATAGTCGAAATGTAAGGAATAAGGAATAAGGTAGGCATCTTTTCTGGTTTACAGGTTGAGTTTGCAAATCAAAAGTTTCCATCTTTTTTCCTAACTAGGCACACAGGGCTAGACCAGGGACTGTTAGACCTTTCTATCACGCCAAGCCGCAACATCGCTTCATCTTCATCATCGATGATTTTTTGTTTGTAAGTTGAGACTGGATCGAGGACTGGATAATACCTTTGTTTGATTGGTCTTGTACCAGATTCTGAGATGATTTCGTGTTCTGTAACCTTACAATAACCTAAGCCAGAATCTATTTGAGAAAGCTTGTCACTCGCATTTCACTCCACTCCACTCCAGTCTTCTCTGTCATCCAAGGCGGATTTTTCGGAAGGGGTCAAGTGATAGATAGCCTGAATATTGCAAATTTCAGCCAGTTCAAGGATAAGTAGTTAGTTTATGGAAAAGCTCAGGGAGTGCTAAAACATCAAATATTTTTGTTTTATCAATTAATGTCCTGGGAACCTGAATATAACCAATAGTATTACATACCTGGCCATCAACTACAGTATACGGATTATGTTGTTCAATGAGTTTGAACCAAAGGCTTCGTAGCCAACTACGTTGGTCTCCTTGAGCATGTAGAATTATGCAATCTAAAAGAATCTTCTTGGAAAAATCTAGGGAGTTGGTCGTATCAAAATTAATGGAGGATAAGGCACGAGCTAAAGATGCCTCCGGGGTTCATTTCCCGAACACTTACTACAAACACTGTCACATCAGGGGTACCACAACGATAGCAATGGATTTTTCTAGGTTCTGGACAATTTCGATACAAATTACCCTTTCTTTGACAGTTCCAGCATTTATGCATTCTACTAGAATTATTTTGAGTTGAGATTTCTATAACAAAACAGGTCCTGTCATTTGAGAAATCAGTAAAACCTTATTCTATGAATCAGTACTAGAAGATGGTTGGGGTTTGTCAACTGCTAAAAATGCAAAATCAGGTTCGAGAAACTGTTGACCCTTACGCGAAGGAGAGACACATAACTTTCCACACGATATTTCTTTGTCTGCAGTTTTAAACACTCCTCCTCGAGCTCCTCAACTGCATCTACATTAGGTAATTGAGTTGAATAGAAGGGTGTCAAGTTTCGACAAAGAATTTCTAATTGAACTTTCCTAGACATATCACCATAGCGTCTGAAAAACGCATAATCAACAATACTTTCTGGAGTGTCCTGTGTCCTATCTAAAATTTCCCCAAAAAGTCTTGACCTGTAATCTGGGGGTGCAAAATGACGCTTCAGTAATTCAGCCAAACTATACAAATCATTAAATAGATCCCTATGTGCTCTGAACTGATTTGAAGCTTTGCCTTCAAAAAGATCAATAGCTGAGTCAAAAAGTTGTCTCTCAGACATGTTACGTGTGAACCTGAGTTCGTTAACTCTTTCCAGGAAATTATATACAGTTAACTTTTTCTAATTTCCAGAAAACTTAAGGCTGGCTAATTGAATTTCATTAGGATGATTAGGATATATTGTTTAGGTTTGCATCAGCTTCCAGAAAATATTGGCTTAAGCTTAACTCAGGTGCTAAGTTGATTATTCACGGGTGGCAACGACACTCTGAAAAACGGAGTCGGCTACTGAGGAAATTAGATCGCTAGTGAGTCAAGAATCAGTCAGTGGCAAATGATAGGCAAATAAATTATTAATCGAATACTTGAATTAATGGAACGCAAGTCAATAGTAAGACAGTGAGTTGTGATAAGTTAAGCTGGATTGTAGTTGAACGAAGTGCTCTAATAGTGTTAGTTTCGTTGGGATTTTTGTGTTATTGACCAATCTAACTCAATAAGTAGAGCCCCTCAAAATGATGTTTTTTTTACAAAAGGTTATGGTTAACAAACATAATTATTCAATTAGCGTTATTTATTGACAGCAAAAAAAAGTATTTAAACATTCACATATCTAGTGCAATGCTATTTAAGTTTATAATGTACAGGGTGTCCCATTGAAGATGGGAATTGGGGTTATCTGCTAAACTCGTAGAGGTAGATTTTTTTTGCTTCCACATTCCCGGGCCAATTTTTCATGACGAATCAAATGCCGCAAACCGCAGGTCTCTATCTTGTTCCGTTTTGGAGATACAGGGTGAAACTTGAAATGTTCACTTTTCGAGGGTAGTCATTATCTAGCATATAAAAAAAGATATCAAAAAGGTGAAAATTGTATCTGACGCAGTTTTTTACGTAGATTTCAATGGCGTACTGGATTTTTTTTTTCCGAGGTACCGTTTTCAATTTAGTTTAGCAGATAACCCCAATTCCCATCTTCAATGGGACACCCTGTACAATGATATATTGTCATTTCTACCTTGTCCCATAAATTTTAAGCCAAAGCAGCAAAATACCTTATCAATAATTTTAATTACCATTGTCTGATATGCCACTAATTCTAAATGGTCAATTATTCTTGTAATTATTGGTACTTATAAATAACTTCACCACATTATTATAAAGCATTATGTAGCTAATTTTGGCAAGTAATTTCGTAATTTCACAGATCTAGCAATAACTTTGACAGTAGATTTTTTTTTCAAAATAAACAAAATGCACAAAACATTGATAGCGATTAATTATTGTCCACCTAATTTGAATAGATTAAAACCAAAATAGATGTATGATAATTCAATAAATATTTCCTTTCTCAGGAACAAAAATACAGGGTGCGAGTTCTTACCCAAGATGACTCCTCATATGGACGGGTAACTTCGCTTGGGGTACTTCGTTTTATACCCCTTGCAGGAACGGTAGGAGGGCTGGTGGTGGTGGTCGATGAGGTATCCCATTGACCATCAGGTTGGCGGTACTGGTCGAAAATGTAGGGTTGGTATCTCTGGAAACAAGAACACAAATAGTACATGATAATTAATATTATTTGAAAAAAAAAACAATAGTTTGTTACTTAATGAATGAGGACCTCTATGATAGCCTTATCATTTTGATTATCTGTTATGTTTATGGTTTAGATAATGTAAATGCTAATGTTGGATATTATGATTGTGTCAAAATTAGTATGATTCATAAAAGAACAGCAAAACGTGGGATTTGTAATTACTAGATAAATACTATCAAAAATGATTGTCACTTTTCTATTCCACGGTAAAAAATTGGTCAACTTTTATTAAATCATTCATTTAGTAAAGGAAAACTTTTTTTAAAATTACATACATCCTTCATCTGGTCCACAAACCACTTGTACCAAGTACATATTCCTATTTCTGTTCTAATGAGGAGTCAAGGTCTTATTATTCAGTGAGTATGTTTTGATATAAAATACCTAGCCGACTGGGAACCATAGGAAATCGTGCATTATTTAATTTAGGCGGTTTCATGGCATTTAATTTTTCTATTGTCCATGTGGCCTTGACTAGTTTGCTTGGCAAAAGTTGGTGCATTTTTACAGTAATACAGCTGATAATTTTTAACCTACTAACTGAAAATGTTCAAACATGTATTAGGATTTGCTATACCTATTTCCGAATAAAAATTATTATTGTGAGAGCACTAAGTTATCTACGTAGACCGAACTACAGGGCACCTTTCAAACATGGAGAAATTAACTTCTGAATAATTCCAACAAAAATATATGAATATAAGCATTAATAATAACGGATGTCCAGCAAAGCTCATAACCCCCTCTTTTTTTTTTGGATTCGTCCAGAAAGCTCTAACAAAAAAGTCATGCCAACTTTCCAAACAATTAGTATTTAAATTTTCCAACAATTTTTTTTCTAGATTGTTGTGTGAAAAGCATCAATCAAACATCTCTATTCCTATGAGTGACACAGCATCAACATTCTTTGACTAATTAAAAAAAATTATCTTTATATAAGTAGCTTTTTATAATCAGCAATTAAAATACAAAACAAGAAAATATTTCCTTTAATACCTGAGATGTCTATTTGATTTCCACAATTTTTTGTTTACAAATGTAATAAAACAGTCAGCCATATACATATTACAATGTGGTAATAGAATAATTAAACATAAGAAAAGAAAATGTAATATTCTATTTTTGTTAGCAGTGTCACTCAGTCTGTTGGTTTCTGGGTACTTTCACTCGCTGGTCCGCAAATATTTCTATAGATGGGAAAATATAAAATACCTACATAGCAAATGAACTTTCTTTTTTTATTTCTGTGCACTATGGAACTTTTTTAAGAATTTAAGTTAGTTGAAATAGTTTTTTTTTTTTTTTTTTTTACGGATATGCGCACTCGCAAGGAAATGTCCTATCACGCTCGAGAAGCGGCAAGTGCGCGAAAATGTCGGTGTATGTTGGTCTTGAAACGGTTCAGGTTGTAACCTGCAGGGAAAACCGTCGCAGGGAGTTTATTCCACAGCGATGCTGTTCTCCAGAGATATGAATTCTGATATAATGAGGTTCTTGGTGCCTCTAGTTTGACAGTAAATTCATGGTTACCGTCTGTTTGACGGGTTCGCCTGGTAGGCGCTACTCTCGGTGGAATCATACGTGCCAACTCTTCAGAGCATTTGCCGTGATAGTACCTGTAGAAGAGAGATAAATCGCCCACAGATCTGCGATGTTCGAGACCATCTGTTATAAATGTTAAAATAGTTATAAATGAATTCTATTAAAAGCGCGCTAATTTGATGCAGTCCCACTAACAGAACAACATGATAAAAATACCTCTACAACCAACATCAAAAATTAGGTGTTATTAAATTAACTTCAAAGCAAAATAAAATGCACAGAAGTAGGCAGTAGGCAGATAGCATCAGGATTTTAATTAGAGTACATACATAAAGCCTCACATAAACTTAAATAAAATTTAATTAGAAAAGTATATTAGGAGATGGTTTAGTTTAAAAACAAAGCATTTTGTATTTTCGTTTTGGTATAATTAAACCTTGAATCAAATAGTCCAAATAGTGCTGAGGTTTTAATTCAATTAAGCACATACATATAAGTATGAATTAAAATTTAATTAAAAGCGTTAAATCTAATTAACCAAATATGAACCACATATTCATTAATAAAAGTGTAAAGAAAGGTATTTTCACAAAAAATTCTATTTAGGTTTCTAGTTGTTACTGATGTAAATGGTGCGGTATTCTAATAACAATTAACAATTTTCACAGGATAGAACTACAATAACAAAAATAATACACATACTGCTTTCAAATAAAAATAAACTAAAAAATTAAGTGGAACAAAACAACAACAACAGATTGGCAAAAGTGATATTTTTCTTGAAAAAATGAAATCGCTCGATAATATTTTTTTGTTTGAAATTTGGTTTTTCCCATAACACACAATTTGCCTCACTTTCTTGTTAATTTCAATTTGATCCATAGATGTTCAAATTAAAGTCAATTTAATTCTCTACAAATCTTTACTTAATAAAAGAGATTGATTTAGCCGATACTTGATTATATATTATTACATCATTACAAATTTTAAAAGAAACAAAAAAAATTTCTAGATTTCCACAATTTTATTTTTATGAAACCGTAACTTGTTAGGTTGCAACACACAATGCGGACGGAATTCCGAAGAAGAAGAACAAGAATATCACTTTTTGTCTGGAGTCTGGAATCGGAAAAATTGATTCAAATAATGATAAATAGAGTGGTAAATATTGTCGCGATGCGTTTTCGCCACGGTATACAAAATCCATGCCTAAAATTTCGGAAAAGACTGCTTTATTCGGGCAAAGAGATTATCCCGTTTATTTGGGATTTCACAAAAATGAATTACAGATATATAAAGGATGGTATTAGTAGTTTTTAAGTTTTAAGATTGACTGTGATATGATTTAGATAGTGATTATTGTTGAGAGTTGTAAAGAGTTTAGTTGTTTCAGTTAATTAGTGAAGTAATTAATGCCAGAGTGTGTATAGTAACGTGGAATAAATTATTGTTGTGTTAATTGGACTCTGATTTGGAAGAAACGGACTCAAGATTTCTGTTGACAATTCATACGTAATCCTAGCCATATTTCTATTGGTTGGCCAGAAAACTGGCCAACCAATAGGATTATAGATTGAGCTTTTATCTGTCAGATTGCGTTACCTAACAGTTTCATCAGAAGTTGAACCAATTGGGCTTAAAAAAATTTAGTTTTTGTAGTGAATTGATTGTTAGATCCAATTTTGTATTTTACAGAAGAAACTTCAGATTCTCAAACACCTATAACTTACAGTCGTGACTCGTGCATAAGATGTGAAATATTAAAATCGAGGTAAAAATGCATAAATATTGAGACGTTCATATTTTTTTCTAACTTGAACTTCGAGTCTTGCCATGAAATTGATAGGGTACTTTTTAAACATCATTTCCAATCCCCATGCAAAATCCCATTGACTCAAACCGCGTCGAAATACGAAAAACTACCCTTAACAAGTAAAAATGCATAAATATTCAGATTTATGTATTTTTTTCAGACTCGGACTTCGAGTCTTGTCAAGAAATTAATAAGGTACTATTCTAACACCTTTTCCAACCCCTATGCAAAATACCATCAGCTCAAACCCTGACGAAATATGAAAAACTACCCTTAACAAGTAAAAATGCATAAATATTGAGATTTTTATAATTTTTTCCCACCTCGGACTTGGAGTCTCGCCATGAAATTATTAGGGTACTATTCTAACACCTTTTCCAACCCCTATGCAAAATCCCATTGACTAAAACCCCATCGGAATATGAAAACACCCCCCCCCCCCTAACAAATAAATATCCAGATTTTTGTATTTTTAATTTATACTTGGACTTTCAGATTTTCCATATTTTAACGGGATTCAGGTGCCATTATAGGTCTGTTCTCGCAAGAGTCTTTGATACTTTGCCAACTGTCAGAAAGCATCGCCCATACATCAAATCAAATCAGAATAAGCTTTATTGTCGGAAAACCAAAGAGAAAAAAAGTTTTATTGACAAAGCAAATACTTAAAGCTAGATTATGTCTAGGATTACAATAATTTTCAATAGGTAATGAACACAACACAAGCATAAATAAAATGTAAAAAAAAATTAACAAACAAATAATAAAAACAAACGCTGAAAAATTAGAATCCGTCCCTAAAATCCAATGACGTATAGGCAAACAATTCCAAACATTAAACAAAATAAAAATAAAATAAAATAAAATTAAATAAAATCAAAATAAAATCAAAATAAAATAAAAATAAAATAAAAATAAAATAAAAACTAGTAGGCACCGATTGACACAAGTTAAAACAATAGACACATTTAATTTTCATAAAATTCGCCAATACTATAGTATGCCTTGGCGACTAGATGGGTCTTTACAAGCTTTCTAAAATTTTCATAAGTACCACTATTCTTAATTTCCTCAGGCAGATGGTTGAACATTTTAATACTCTCATAGATAATGCAGTGTTTTGTTAAGGTGTACTTTGGTATTGGTAAGGGTACCTATTTTGACTTGACGCAGATTATAACTGCTATTCTTTACAAAACCAGAGAACTTCTTATAAATCAAACTCACAGATTCCAAAACAAAAATACAAGGCACCGTCAATATCCCCTCCCGCCTAAATAATGGTCGACACGATTCCCTGCATCTCCTACCACACAAGTAGCGGACAGCTCTTTTTTGCAAAACAGACACCGATTGAACTGATCTCTGAGTTGCAAACCCCCAGAAAGCAATGCCATAAGGTATATGTGACTCTAGCAGCAAGAAGTATACAATTTTCGCCGCGTCCTTACCAAGCTCCTGAAAAATAGTTCTGACAATGTAACAGCCTGTAGCTAGCTTTTTGGTTAGAGTATCAATGTGTGTTTCAAATTTCAGTTGCGAGTCTATATGCAACCCTAAAAACTTTATGGTTGATTTGCTTTCC